AATTGAGACCCCCCCTAAATGAAAAAAAAATCACTGGTTGGAATGGCTGTTCATCACAGCCTGTGCTGGTGAGAGTTTTCAAAACCAGCCGGCCTGTGCTGGGAAGTTGCCAGACATTGCAGTTATAAAGGACCATGACGAGCCTTTGTCGTGGGCTTGTCGATGAGGGGTGGGCTTCACTGAAGTCTGCCCAATTATCTCAAACTGCTACAGTTTTGTGGTAAGGAAGTGGGAGAGGCTGGGCACTGCCTGGTCCCCACAGCATGTGCTGGGGTTTTGTAAGTATGGCGATAATCGTTACATGCCAGGCAGTGTTAGCCTGCCAGAACCTTGCCAACATTGATGCAGAACAGACATCAGCTCAGCGGCATGGTTTAACCCAAGCAGACACTCTCCAGCATATTGAACTCCTCTCACCGTCTACCCATCGTCTATTCTTCGTCTACAATAGATGAATCGACTATAGACGACATGTATAGACGACTCGACTTTAGACGAACTATTGTAGATGACTCGTCTAATAGACGGGTCTTCAGGATATAGACGACCGAAAAAAATACAGACGTACTACAGACAACAGCGCACGCAATGTGGCGTACTTCCCAACAGGAGCAAACACCTCATCGAAATCGATGCCCTCACGCTGAGTAAATCCCTTGGCAACTAGGCGAGCTTTGTATCGCTCGATGTTCCCATTGGCATCACGCTTCAACTTAAACACCCACTTCAAACCTACTTTCTTTTCACCCTTCGGCAGATCCTCAAGCTCCCACGTATTATTGCTGAGTAGGGACTGCATCTCCTCGTCCATAGCTCGCTTCCACTGTTCCCAATCGGGACGACTCATCGCTTCTTCCAACGATACCGGCTCAAGCAGCTCAGTCGCAGAGGAGGCAGGAGCATAACGCGGATTCAATTTCACACTCCTACCATACTTCGTGACATAGGGGCCGCTAGTTCCAGCACTGGGTGCACTACCTGCCTTATCCACACCACTGGACATCAGTTCTTCATGACTCTTACCAGCAGGGCCTAAATCTTCTTCATTTGCACCACTAGGGCCTAAATCCTCCAAATTTGAACCATCAAGACCCAAATCCTCCTTATCCGCATCATCAAGGCCCAACTCCTCCTCATCCGCACCATCAAGGCCCAACTCCTCCTCATCTGCACCATCAAGGCCCAACTCCTCCTCATCTGCACCATCAAGGCCCAACTCCTCCTCAGGATCGGGTGATTGTGCTGCTGGAGCAAAACAATAACTCAGCTCCTTTTCCACGGGTTTTTCACTCTTTCCGTGCATCTCCATCTCGTTGAATGTGACATCGCGGGACACTACCACTTTTCCATCCACAAGAATGCGGTATGCCTTAGCATTAGCCTCATACCCCACGAAAATACCTCTTTGTGAACGAGGATCCAGTTTGTCGCGTTTGCACTTAGGAACGTGCACATAAGCGGTGCAGCCAAACACACGTAGATGAGCAACGTTGGGGACCACACCAGTGAAAGCTTCATATGGAGTTTTGGCCTTAGTGGCTATGGGAGAACGATTACGCACGTAGGAGGCGACCGATAGCGCCTCATGCCAATACTTCTTCGACACAGCAGGCGCTCCCGCTAACATAGCCCGCACTTTATCCAGCAGGGTGCGATTTAAGCGCTCAGCACTTCCATTTTGCTGCGGAGAGTAAGGAGCCGTAAGCTGATGGATGATGCCGTGTGACTGACAAAACATCTTAACATGCGCATTGACAAACTCCCCACCTCGGTCCGTACGCAACGCTTTGACACGCTCACCACTCTGCAGCTCAAGTGCTACAACAGCAGTGCGCAACCAATTTAAGACATCTGACTTCCTAAACAAAGGCTTGACCCAAGACGCGCCGGTGTAATCATCCAAGAGAGTCACAAAATAATGATGGCCCTCGGCGGATTGTGGCAACGGTCCACACACATCCATATGCAGCAACTCAAGAGGTTTAGACGTAGATGAAACTGAACTAGGAAACGGACTACGGCAATGCTTTCCTAGAGTACAAACTTCACAGAGATCTTTCTTAGCAGCACGAAGAGAAACTCACGACAGATCAATACCGCGCACCATCCCGTCCATCACCAACCTTTCCAAATTGTCCAGTCCCAGGTGGCCAAGACGCCGGTGCCACAACGAAGCCATCTGTGACTCAGGCACCTTCGCAACAAAAGCAGGGATGGGTGTATCTGGCTCTGTGGGCTCCTCAGGTGCCTGTAAAGCTTCAGACATAAACTGCCATAGACCATTACGACACTTGACAGCCTTAATGCACAAAGACCCACGGCGGATGATGGCAATATTCTCCTCAAACGTGATTTTGAAACCCTTATCGGTCAGCTGTGTCACAGATATGAGATTGTGCTTCATACCAGGTGCATACATCACGTTCGTAATCCGCAGGTCGGGTGATGCTGCTGGAACAACTACACCGTATCCCACGACAGGCAGGACATTTCCATCCCCAACCACTATAGAAATCGGGGTGCGAGCTGGAAGTGCCTCGTAGTCGTGAATGACGTCCCGATTTCCAGTGACGTGGTACTTGCTTCCGGAGTCGAGGTACCACGGCTGATCACTAGGGCGAAACAGCTCCACTCTGTAGTGCTGATATCTTTGAGGGCGAAAACCCTCCGCTGAGCCCAGAGGATAAAAGTTCTCTTTGACGGGACTGCTTGACCATGGATTAATGGTCACTCCTCTAGCAGCATATCCCGGCACAAATTCTGATTCCCTCACTACTAACGTCAAAGCGGCAAAGGCAGGTCTAGGGCGGTTCCCTTCGTCACGTTGTTTCTTGAAACAGACAGACTCGTCGTGTCCCGTTCTCCCGCAGTACGTACACTCGACGGTCTTCTTGTTCTCCATACCTCGGTTAGGTCTCGAACCTGATGTTGCCGCCGTAGATGACGGTGCAGAAGGTAACGACGATGACGATTTTCCTTTCCGTTTCGGGCACTCGAAGGAAAGATGCCCGTTGTTCTTGCAGATGTAGCAGGTCTTCGTACTGCCGCGCCCCGCGTACAATGCAGTCGTGGTCTCAGGTTCTGGCTTCCCTGATTCTAAAAGCTCCGACTCAAAGTGAAGTAGAAGCGCCCTGAGCGAATCCACGTCTTTCGGGTAACCATGTGTTATGAATGATGGACGAATGTTGTCAAACCGCGGAGTTAGTCCTCTAACAAGACGATTGATTAGAACTGAAATCTTGACCTCGTAGTCTGGATGGCCTTTTAGGGCGTGGAACTCGGCCTCCCCACGAGCCAAGTAGTCTTCGACCTTCTCACCGTCGTTCATCTGGATATTAAGAAGATTGTCCAGACGCGCACCCAACCCGGCCTCGTCGAGCGATGCGTAAAAGGATTTTAAGCCGTTCCATAATGACTTCGCTGTCGGTGATTGTAGAGACAGCGTCATGTGTTTTCGCGGCAAACGCAAGTTGATTTCACACATCGCGTCGTCACTGCGCTTCTTGGCGGCGGCGTAGCCAGGTGCGTCTACCGCTGGAAGGTCCTCCGTGATTGCTGAGAGACATCCCGCCTTCTGCAAAACTGTCTGCATCCGCCAGAACCAGAACTCGTAGTTCTCGCTTGTGAGTACATCACTAAACAGCAACTTCTGATCCATCTTAAGTGTGTAGTCCACCGTAGCAGGTAAACAATTGTGTTCTACCGCCGACTGTCTAGTCGGGGCTCATAACCTGATTGAAGAGGCAGTAAGCGTTGCCCGCGCAAGCTGCAAGCACTAGTACTGTTACGAGACGTGACTCCGAGTCTCTAACACTAAGTGCTATTACCAAGGCAGCTAAAGCCTATAGAAGGCAAAGTGGATCGGAAGCACCAGCGATTTCCAGAGTCTTACAAGTGCGTCCTGCAACAATGCTCGGTTCTAACTTACTACGCAATAAGCTTTCCAGACCAAAGAGAAAAGAAGGTCCATTGCCTCTTATACCGACCCGGAAGACGAAAGGATTGGTACGGAAGATCGCACCTGGCGCCAAAAAACCAATAAGCATGGCAGACAGGCCGTACTTCAACAGTTTCAACCATTATCTGCACTGCAAGTTGCTTCCCTTCAGGTACAAGAAATTAGCCTTTGAAGTTGTCAATCAGCACCCACAGGTACTGCTCCGGTTCTAGAGAACTTCTTGTCACTAGCTAAGGATCCCACGTTATCCCAGTCTGTGAGAATTGCTCTTGTCACTGCAGTAGGGCGCCCTTATCCTGGTCCATTCTGGGGCAGTTAGACCTGTAATCACCGACAGCGGGGTTGACGGGTATTAGTTAGTAACAGTGACGTTCGGTAAATCGGACCGGACGAGCTAACCACCGACAGTTAGGATTCGGAGCCCAAACCATTGCAGAAAGCTTTACAGGATACAACAAGGGCAGTGATGCCCT